GTACGATCGTTTTACAGGGGATTTTATACAAAACGTGATAATTTAGCGGCTATAATAAATAGAACGGCGAGACTATAATTTGTGGACGAACCAATCAGGTATAAGATAATAGATCTCGGATTCGGGCCCGAAAGCCTTTCATCCATTTGGGTAAATAAATTTCTAGCATCATAGCTGATGTCAGTTCGTGATGAAAACCCCATATATAATTCCTAACTGAGGCAAACTATGACAATTATCGCGAACTGGATAATAAAAGTACCAGTAACACTGGCTGCAGCCAGGTACTACAATATATATGGATGATTGGAGAGCCTACAGACTCCTGCATAGGCTTGGCTATGTGCATCGCGTCGTTATCCACAAGTAGCATTTTGTGTAATCAACAACTGAAATGCACATAAACAATATTGAAACTATGTGGTCGAGGCTGAAAGAGTTTTTGAGAATTTATCATGGCTCCAGAGATCGACTATTCTGTAGCCGTATGAATGATTTCCTCTACTGCATGCATTATGATTTTAGAACCTCTTTCTAACCTTAACAAGTTTTTGAACCACGTATAAGAAGTGTATCCACTATATTTCCTTGGTTTTGTATAATATATTTTCGCTCAACACCTACTGTTCGCTGATTGACTAATATTCTCTAGGTCACTTAAAATTCGTTCAAAGGTCGTCCATAAGTTAGAGTCTCGCCGAAACCTTTATAATATTATAACCGATATTCGTGAGACCGCATTTGGAATATGGGATTCGAGCAGCAAGTCCTTGTTTCATGTATGAGGCAGATATGCTGGAACGCGTCTAACGACAAGAGACTCAAGTGGTAAAAGGTCTATCTGACCTATATTATGAGGACAGACTGAGACACCTCAACTTATTCTCGTTATCTTACCGCAGAATACAGGGTGATCTAATATTGGCTTACTGCATACTGAACGATGACCTTGGTATTAATGTCTTATTCCTTCCTTCCGTCCAGGACTGATCATTTGAGAGGACATTCTAAGAAATTTCAAAAACCGAGATCACATAGTCTACGTCTGGAGTTTCGTTTCTCGCAGCGAGTAGTGAACTACCGGGATCCTCCACCAAAACACGTGATATCAGCACCCGGTAATACATTCACAGTGTTACAAATTGAAAGGATTAATACAGGTCAATAGGCCTACTATTCTTATTACTGTAGCCCTAATACTAATTCCTCAACTAACTTACAACCATCTAATAAACTGAGTAAGTTGGTGAACTTTTTCAAGCAGAAACATCTCTTGACACTAGATCTATTCACCTCAATAACGAAAACTATATAAACAATACCATAAATAACCAAATGCTACTACACAGTCAAAAGTGTGAGTCTTTTAATTCGAAAAATGCTTCAATAACACCTCTGAAGTAGTTGCAGAGAAAACAAACACACCTTGTCGTAGCGGAAATTTTGAGACGAGCAAACATCGACCTTCAAGTAAGTCATTAAAATGGTTCAGATAGTTCAAATGGTTGTGGACAGAATAGAAGAAGCTTTTGCTTAACACGCTTCCTTTTCTAGTGGCAGGGGATCATCAATATCTCCAGGCAGGAACCTTAATATATTAACTATAATAGATTAGAAAAAAAGAAATTGGTAACTCATAATAAGATGTTATCCATAGTCCTTAAGAATAGGTCAAGTTTCCTCTTAAAGGACTCCTGGGACGTCGCCTGGACTAGTTCAGTAGGCAGCGAATTCCAGCCTTTGACAACTCTTAAGGAGTAGAAGTTGTGTCTACAGTTCGTTCTGCTATGTTGTATCTCCAATTTCTGGGTGTCACCCCTTAGACTTGTATTGGGACTAAGCTTAAGTAGGTGTTTAACAGGAAGTCCAGAAGTGTCAAGGATACTGTAAGCCATGAGAATGTCACCTCTAAGATGCCTATACTCTAATGTGTGAAGGTTAAGTGATTGGAGGCGCTCTTCATAAGGTTTAAATTTGAGTCCCCGAACTCATTTCGTTGGATGCGCTCCAGAGTGTCCTTATCCTTTTGAAGTGTGGGAGGGAATACTATGTTTCCTTACTCTAAATGAGGACAAATAAAACTGATGAATATTATGTGGAAAGTTCTTCCGTCAAACTGGTCAAAAATGCGCTTCAATGTCACCAGTACAAGGCTTGCTCGAAAGGCATTTTTGTCACAGTTAGCGTAAGACTTCAAATCGTAGGGTACCAGGACTCCTAAATCTTTTTCGACTCGGAATACTACTAGAGGGGAGTTTATTAAGTTGTAACTGTAGTCTGCTACATGCCGTAGATGGCCTACTTTACACTTTGAAGTGTTAAAGGTAATTCCGTTGTCATCTCCCAAACTTTGAAGTCGAGTCAGATCCTCCTGAATTGCCTGTATATCCTCTTGGTTGCGTATCTCTCTCCAGAGTTTCACATAATCAGCAAAAGTAATAAGTCTGACGATACCTGTTGTGGAAGATCATTTATATAAATCAAGAAGAAAAGAGGTCCTAGTACTGAGCCCTGAGGTCCCAACCAGGACATTCCATAGCCTGAGATAAAGTGAAGTTGTAGTGACTCACGTTTATCACGAGAACACGACTGGTTTAATAAAAACAATTATTATTATAACCAACTGTACCGGTGTGTGTTTTAATGTGCTTTTGTTTGACTGTGCTAATGACAGCTATTTTGTGCTTCCATTCTTTAACTTACACTTTGATTGTAACTTCCCGCGAATTCGGTTACGTTCTGTAACAAGCTTGTATCCTGGCACGATCTCGGTATCCTTTCGATGCCACGAGATCGCCAGCTAATAAACCTCGACTTGGTCCATTAATTGCCTTCTGATATTTGGCTTCTCGTGGATTTTATGGATTTATTTGGTTACGTCCAACCTTTGCCTTCTGATTTATCTGGCACGTGTTTCTTGGTAGCGGTGTTCACAGTTAATCTCAACTCGACGCCACGCTACAAAGTTAACCCTGACCTTAGAATGTCGATTTTTCATATATGAAGTGAGCCAATCAATCAGAGGTGGGCTGATATCAATCGTTTGAGCTTAATGATAAGACATATATGGTTAACCCTATCAAAAGCTTTTGAGAAATCAAGTTAAATGATACCAACCTTCCCCTTGCAATCAAGGATGCTTGCCCGCAGTCGGCAGGTTAGTTATACAAGAATAACCCTTCCTGAAACCATGCTGTTGGTGTGAGAAGAAGTTTAAGGACCATCGCATATCAGGGACTTCATGATTTTTTAAGAGAAGAGCCACCAGTCGGTGACTTGATTGTTCGCTGCGTCGACCTCCCTTGGAAATTGGTGTGGTGTGAGCCAGCTTTCAATGTTCCGGTAGTTCGCCTCGGCTTAGTGAATATGAGAATATCATCCTAAGCGGTGTTGCCAAGATTGAAGCTGCTTCCCTCAATAAAACAGAATAAACCATATCTGATCTAGGAAAAATGTCTTTTCTTAGGTGCTGCAGTTTCCGGAACACCAAGTCAGCGCTCGGGTTCACCTCGGAAAGTCCTGTGCAGTTGCGGATGAAGCTGTCATCAGTATAGTTGATGTGGGTCGGCTGCAATGTCAGGGAGTATTGTTCAGCCAAAAGGTTAGCGGCGTCGTCGTCGTTATCGGTAGGGCCATTGGGACCTAGCATTTGGGGAACTCCAGTGTTGGCTTGATGAAAAGCCACTGCGTAACGGAATAAGCTTTTCGGATTGGAGACAAATTTATCCATAAGCTTTATCTGGTATTAAAGCCTGTCTTCTCTTATAGCCTTCGTGCATATATTCCTTGTATGTTTGTGTTGCCTGTACGCGCCATTATTGTCAGATCGTTTGTATTCTACCAACTGTGTTTTTTGCGGCTTAGCAGGCGAAGAGTAAGGTTCTTATTGATTGTAGGTTTCTTGAAGCGTTTGGAGGCCATTTGAGGAACTGACTGCTTTGTAGCACATGAGGGCGTGTGCAGTAAGAAGTCTCAATGAGTATCCACATCAAGTTGAAGGTGAACATCCCAATCCACCTGTTACAGATAGTCCTGTAGAGCTGACACATCTAACCGTTTAGAATTACAGCGCCCATTGTTGGTGGGATATCTTGGCACAGTTTTGCTGAAAAAAAGAAGGCTATAACATCGTGATCGCTCTTCCCCAGAGGAGCCAGGATTGAGAGGTTGTCAACTAGAAATTCTTCGTTCGTAAATACCTAGTATAAGCGCGACGGTATCTGACCGTTTCTACAACGAGTTGCCGACTTCACATTTTAGTACAATCCAAAATTCTAAATGGAGTTGGAGAACCGAGCTTCAGTTGAGTTTTCACCTTCAATATACGTATGTTCCGCGTGTTACATGAAGTAGCCTCGGAATATTTTGGTGCTTAGACTCCTTTCCCCGAGTGAGCCGTGTGACCGTCAAAGGCTCTATTCTAGGAAGTCCGAGCTTCTTGTTCAATTCACCCCAGAGCATCCCGACATTTTTGTCATGCAAACGGAGAGGGAGGTCAGGGTTGTCTTTGAGGTTCATGATTATAAGAGAGTCATCACGAACCGTTATTGTTTTCCCAGTTTTTTCGGTACGTTCAGATTCAGCAACTTGATGTTTGGAGGTTGAAGCACGTTTCTGATTTCTAGGCTCTTTGATGACCGGACGAACATTCTCAGGGGTAGACTATGCGATCAAATCACCAGTTCATTTCCGTACAATTCTTGGGATGTTCAGCTTAGACGGTGACGTCTGGTCCTTTTCAGCTCTGTTGACGTGGGTTCAACCGCCTACAGAGTTTTAGGGAACCACTGTTGCATTCAAGGATCCTGAGCTGGTAGACCCGACCAAGACCAAATAATATACTACTGGATATTCTTTTTACACGCCTAACCATAAACCACTGATAATGTCAACCAAAAGGCAAAAAATTTATATTTTAATATTTTTCGGGAAAGGCCAGTTACGTACATCAATGTAAACAGCATCAAACACTATGAGCTATTTGTTCTTTTATCTCTGGCATTGAAATCGTGAGTGAAGGTTGCGGAGCTTTTGAATGGCAGTGCTATTGCACTAACAAATGTAATTATTAAGTTTAACATAAAACTAACATGTCAGACCCAGGTCATAGCATCAATGTGATTTTTGGTAAGAGATTTCTAATTTTATTTATTCCGATTAGGGGGTCAAAAGTATTTGGTCCCTTTACCATTGAATAGCGATGCAACATTACTGGACTTAATGAAGTCAATAGACTCTATTTTACACATTCCATTTGATAAACAAAGAATAATATACAAAGGTACACTACAACCATACCCACTTGATATATTGTAGGAAGATCTCTTACTGATCCTGATGCATTAATTTCTTCATCCGGTCTCACTCCTGGGTCTAGAGTTATGATTCTTGGTTCAGTAAGTCAGTACAAGTAATTTAATTAGTCTGTTCCGCCAAAGGTTGATAAACTTAATCCAGATGAGGCCGTAAAACTTGTCAAGGCAAAAGACACGTCTGATGCAGTCGATTTACAACTAAAAGACCTCTCAAACAAACTAGATACTATTGTAAGTTCAACTCAAAGGATTTACAAATCATGTTTATTTGATCCTGAATATTTTCCTGAGTGATTTTTAAAGGCATTGTGTTCACCCCCCAGAGCCATTTTCTAGAATGCAATAGTTTGATCTGTTAACTGTTATTATTTCTATGTTTGAAGATAATTTCGGTGTTTGTATTCCGTGTTATGTACTACTGTTCATCGCGACTTCTCACCCGGTTGCACCAATAGTCGACCGGTACTATTTTCAGCTCGTATTTATCGTTGGAATATGTTCACCTATGCTTACAGAATAAACCATTATCATTTTCTAGGGATTATGTCAGGAACATTTCAACCCTAAGTATTAGAACAAATTGAGGGGGGAAGAGTCTAAGTATTTATTAAATGAAATTGTTGGTTTATTTAAAAACCGAAAAATTCGGTTAGGTAAATTTCTCTTTTATTACCCACTTTTTTGACCTTGTCGAACTCTGGTTCATAATCCTTATTTGGTTCATTCTCAAATTTCGAATTGGTAAAGCTAGTTTTCATTCCATACAAGCCTGTGTTACATCAAATTATTTGCGAGCTTACATAGCGCTTGGGGAATTATGATTGGGAACTATAGTTCTCAATCATGCGGACCTATAGGCTCTTATTCTGAAGTTCATTTCTCATAAACTGTTCGTAGCCAACATCTGATAAGAGCCTGAAGTCAAATTTGCGCAGACAGAATTTCATCCTACAAAGTAAAGCAAATTGATCAACATTTGAAGATTCTAAGCATCTACACCTGTGCATTGCAGAGGCTTGCCTACTTTAACGTTTTCTATCCATCCTTCTGATGATAGTTTTTATTCAATACTATAAATGTAGTGAAACATGAAATTCTCAACAGTTCAGTTTTTCACCAAAATCTATAAATATATCTTTGGGAAATTTTGAAACTCTATTGCCGCGACATCGACACCAAAGTGAGGGAGTCATATATATATATATATTCCGATCAATGAACTACAATGTTAACCTCATCAAACTGATGTACTAATTTCGATAATGTAATCAGAAGACGAAGATTATCAGAACTATGTGATATATTAGCGCAATACATTTCGAACAATCTGATCACACACATACTTGTTAAGAGCACTTATATATAAAAATAAAAGGTCAACTAGACTGGAAACGGGGTAAGAGGAGATAAGGATAATGATAAGAGCAATAATAATAATAATAATAATAATAATAATAATAATAATAATGTGAACACAATTTGAAACCTAATCACTCTGGATAATAAGTCAATATTACCAGGGTAGGTTTAAGGTAAGAACAAACTGTTTTTGAACACACAAAAGGGGTTTAAGTTTTCGTATGGCTAAGGCTTCAATAAACCTCAGTATACACCCTTTTACACTTTTATACAATACCACAAAAGCTGAGTTTAGATCAATCTTGTGACCTGTTTCAATTATGTGTTTAGCAATAGAGGATGTTGGATGTTTATCCTCTGCTCCTATTGGGTCACCTGATTGTATTTGTTGTATTCATATGTGTGATCAGATTGTTCGAAATGTATTGCGCTAATATATATAATCTTCGTCTTCTAATTACATTATCGAAATTTATAAAAGGGACTAATTGATATACTAATGCCTGAATGATTTTTGCTTACTTACTTCTGTTACCTTTCATGAAGAAGCATAGGCTGGCCATCAGCATTCTCCACCAAACTATGTTCTGGGCAGTTGTTTCCAGTTGCTATTGAGCCTTTTCATGTCTGCTTCCAATTCTCGGTTCAGTGTTCATTGGCCTTCCTCTTTTTCTCGTTTCCCTTCAAGATTCCAGGTTAGCGCTTGCTTCGTATTGTAGTTTGATGATTTCCTCAATATGTATCCTCTCCACTTCCATCGTCTTTCCTTAATTTCTTCCTCAGCCGGAAGTTGGTTTGTTCTCCCCACAATATGTTATTGCTGATGATATCCGGTCAACAGGCATTCAGTATCTTATGTCGATAATTGTTTATGAATACCTGTACATTTTTCATGATGATTGTGTTAGTTCTCGAAATTTCAACTCCATACAGTAGAATCGTCTTGACGTTCGTATTGAAGATTCTGACTGATATTGGTTAACAGTTGTTTTGAGTTCCATATGTTCTTCAACTGTAGGAATGCTGTCCTTATTTTGCCAATCCTTGCCTTTACTTCTGCATCATATCCTCCACGTTCATCGATGATGCTACCCAGATAGGTGAAAGTTTCCACCTCTTCCATCGTTTCTCCATCAAGTGTGATTAGGTAGGTTGGTGTTCTTTGTGTTGTATTTGAGGATCTTGCTTTATCCCTTGTGTATGTTGAGGCCTACTGATGCAGAGGCTTCTGATACACTGGTTGTCTTCATCTGCATTTGTTACTGTGTATGGAATAGAAGGACTCGGTCATCTGTAAATTACAAATCTAATTGATTCCGAGCTGTCCATTATATTCCATGCTTCCTCTCAGATATCGAGGTCTTCATAATCCGGTCAACCATCAGAAAAAAAGAAAGGGGGAGAGTAAGCAACCTTGTCTGACACTGGTCCTCACTCGGAATGTATCTGTTAGCTGTCCATGCACGATATTGCAGTGTAGTCCGTCGTATGGATTCCGTATAATGTTGACGATCTCAGCTATTCACACTATAGTGCCGAAGAAGTTTCCATGATGTTCTATCCACATTGTCAAATGCTTTTTCATAATCAATGAAGTTGATGTATAGTGACGAGTTCCATTCAATTGATTGTTCAGCGGTGATTCGTAGTGTGGCGATTTGGTCTGTGCACAACCGATCCTTACGGAGTCCGTCCTGTTGACCTCGAATTTGAGCGTCTACTGCGTCTTCCATCCGGTTCAGCAACACTCTGTTGAGGACTTTTCCTGGTACTAGCAATAGTGTGATGTCTCTGTAGTTCTCACATTTGTTCAGATCTTCTTTCTTTGGTATCTTGCTGAGTTGTTCTTCTTTCCAACCCGTTGGCACTTGTTCTTCCTCCCAAACCTTCCTGAATAGAACGTGGAGCATCTTTGCAGTTAGTTTGGTCTGACTTCGGTGCTTCGGCTGGTATATTGCCAGATTCTGCTGCCTACCCACTATTGATTTATCTGATGGGCATCCTGATTTCTTCGATCGTTGGTGGAGCAACATCTATAGGGAGATCTGTGTGTGCTGCTTCGATGTCCGGTGGATTCAATGGAGCTGGTCTATTCAAGAGTTCCTTAAAGTACTCTACCCATCTGTTCCGCTGTTCTTGAATTTCAGTGATTGATCTGCCTTCTTGGTCTTTGACCGGTCTCTCTGGTTTACTATATCTCCCTGCTAAATTCTTCTTTGTATTATAAAGCTGTTACATATTTCCTTCTCTTGCAGCTTTTTCCTCTGGCATTGCTAGGACTTCCACGTATTTCTGCTTGTCGACTCTAATGCTTTCCTTCACTTACTTATTTGCTTTTGTGTATTCAGCTTGTGCCTTGAATTTCTCTGCTCTCGTTTGGCTGTTGTTGATTTCTGTCTTTTTGTTCTACCCGTCTTGATTCTTGTTCAGGGTTTTCGATGGAGATCTATTCCTTATGATGATGTTGCGGCACGGAACCTCCTGATACGTTGAAGTTAGGGGTTTTTCGATCTTTTTCAAATTTTCCTCCATGGTAGTTTTCGCATCTTCGAATAGATCTTGTAAGGCCTGGAACCTGTTGTTGAGAGTTATCTTAAATTGGTTGAGTTTGTTAGTATCTCATAGGAAGGCTGTATTGGACCTTTGTACTACTGTTTCTCCAGTTTTCAAGTGTTTCTTTAGCTTCAGTTTCCTCTTGGACACAACCCGGTGGTGATCTGAGGCTATATCAGCTCCTCTCCTGGTTCTCACGTCGTCCGTTGACCTACTGAATGTTTTACTGATGTAAATGTGGTCGATCCGGTTCTCCGTAGTGTGGCCTGGTGAGATCCACGTAGCTCTGTGTATGGGTTTGTGTGGGAATATTGTGCCGTCTATAATCAATTTGTTGAACACACATGGGTTTGCAAATCTCTTCCCATTAACGTTCCTTTCTCTTAGTCCATGTTGTCCCATGATATCTTCCTATCCGGTGTTCTTCATACCAACTTTAGCGTTTAGGTCTCACATTGGGATGGTCAAGTCGATTTCTCAGCACTTCGCTATGATCGCAGCCGCTCGTAAAACTGATCTTTATTCTCGCCATTGCTATAACTGGTGGGTGCATAACATTGGATAACATTCACTGTGATACCCTCCTTCGTTTTGAATGATGCCTTGATGATTCTGGATCCGAGAGATTTCCATCCTACAAGTGCATTTCGTGCCTCTCCAGAAATCATCAGAGCAACTCCCCGCTTGTGTGGAGCATTTTTTTTACTTGTGACTGGAGTACAGCAGTATCTTTCTCGTATCTAACCTTTGCTGTCCATCTTGGGTCCAATGGGTTTCACATATTCCGAGGGCCACCGTGTTGTATCTCCTGATTTCCGTATCTATTTGCCTGGTCTTCACAGTGTTCCACATTTTCGGGACGTTCCATGTACCTATATTAAATGTTGTTCTGGTTGCTAGAAATGGCCTCGACCTCTTGACTTCCGTAGAATCTCGGTTTTTATCATGGCGTCCTAATTCTTCCTTGAACTCGGAGGGCAGAATTTAAGCATTTTGATTTGTTTATTCTGGTTATCGTATTTTAGAAAGTTTTTTTCTACGGGATGTGGTTGCTGACCCCATGTTCAATCCTCCTTTATCCGTGCTTGGGACTGGCATTAGCCATAGACGAGCTACAGGTGGTGTTAATCTCCGGACATACGAACTGCTTATAGGTTGTTGTTTTGGTTAGTTATTTGTATCTTTATAAATTCTATGTGTCACTATTTGTTTTGTTAAAGATTTTAAGTTATAATCCACACGCATTTTTGGTTTACTTTCTACATTTAGTTATCTCAAAGTAATTCTGATAGTTTAGAGGTAACTGCACACGTAAAGTCTACAATTGACATTATGGAGCAGTGCATGCGTACTCTTGAGCTTCTGGACTCTGTTCGGTTGCCATACAATTGCGAAAGTGAACGCGCTTGTCGTAAGAGGCTAGTAGACACAATACAAGTAGGTTTTAAGGTAACGTTTATCTTTATCGAAGCGGTTTATGTTTAACTTGATACTTTTTTAAACCGTGATTCCAAAAAGTAAATGCTTTGTTGTCGTTATGGTCAATGGCACACATGTAGTAGCGTTAACTCAACTTATGTAAACGTTGCTCCTCTTCAGACTTTGAAAAACTTTCGGTTTCTTATGTATGAAAACATTGAGATATCTATTCACATTACCTTTCGTACCAACAAAATGCAGTGCAGACCTAATGTTCACATTAAAACATATTTCAGTAGAAGCACGAGTAAGCATCTTACAAATGAATATTCGAAATTCATATAGCGGCCATATCTTTACAAACATTTCCAAGTATTATGTGTTCAGTTATTACTTTCGACGGTAACTTACTCCGTTGTTATAGACGACCTTAGTCAAATTCACTTCACAGACTCTTGGAGCTAATACTGTCCAATAAATTTTAAGTTCACTCATTGTACTTATATATATGGACAATACTACCCAAAAGACGAACGAACCTTACTTTATTTCCTTTTTGTTGAAGGATTTCTCGCGTTAATCCGTTCTCGAAATATAAGCTTTGTAAAGTAATAATCATTTGAAATGATAAAATAATTTGTTAGTGTTCACTTGTTTTTCAAGTATATTAACCAATGTAGTTTTCCCTTTTATCTCTTTATTTCTTGATTCGTTCTTTCGAAATATTTTTCAGGAGTTTCTTGTACAGGCGGACAAGTTGAGAGCTGAATTTTTAAAGCTTATCAAAACATAACACTGATATCTTCTGTGTTAATACTTCTGTAACATAGTGTTTACTACAGTACTACTTTTGTCAGTAACTTAAAAAATAACATTACAGTTTGTTATACTTGTATTTTTCCTCTTCAATCACAAAAAATGACTATAAGCAATCAACAAGGGTAACTGTCATGGAAACAAACGTGACAAGTGATCTCAGTAAAAGCGGATAAAAAAGTGAATGATTTCGTTGCATATTTTTCTCCTCTACCCCACCATTGGGTTTTCAGTCATCGCTGTAAGGCAGTAAACCTGTACACGAAAATAAAACAAATTTATTTAAGTTTGGAAGCTAAATTTATACTGAATAATGAATTTACGCTCATCTGAATGTTTACAGTTTATTACGTGATTTCATCGCAGACAAAGATGTGATGGAACTGAGAAAGGAAATTTAGAAACATTCCATTGCGAGAAATTATCACACGTTAAGCATATGGTATTACTCTTTGGTTAAAGTATAGTTGACGGTTATGTTGAAAAAAGTTCTATTACCACAGAAAAGATATGTTAAGAATTAGTATTCGAACCACATTCATAGTTATCTTCTCAAGAATGTTTCATAGACTCGATAAAGTTTTTTATAAGGTTCCCAATGTCTTATTGTCTAAGTGGCTTGAAGCAACATACACAAAAAAATGTAGGTAATGTATGGCATGATACAAATGATTATCGTTCCTTGTTATCAGACTTCAAACTAGTGATCAACAAAAAGATGTTGAAGAACGAGCGAATAAAGTGGCACCATTTTCAGCACTTAGAAGTGGATAATAAGTGGATCCGTCCTACTGAGATGAATTAATTCTACGACGTTTCACCTTGTCTGCTATCTGTAACATTAGTTATACCGTAGAATTCAACTAGGAAGCTTGTACATTCTTGAACTTTCTATATCAACAACAAATGACTTCGATTACTTCTTTGACCTTGAGTATATGTTCTTGATATTTACAGGGTATCGAATATACAAGAATTTCGCGCACCTCATACTTACCATATCATTTGGGTATATTGGAGTTGTAGGTTCTGGTAATGTGTAAACAAATCTTTCGATTTTTCCACTTGCTTCAAGGTATATGTTTTTACATGACAAACATTCATCCATATTATTGCTAGCTTCAACACTTCGATAAAGGCCGATTGATATTGTTCCGGTACTTGCCAACTCAGCATGAAATAACTGACTGAAAGTCAGAATTTTCTGTAGAAATAGAAAAAAAACATACGTGTGATGTCTTGTGTTACATATTTACTGGCAAATTTCTTTGTATTTGGCAGTTCGTACAACATGTCCCAAGGGGCATTAGAATTTTGCCTCTTATGAGATCAGTACTGAGATCAAATGTTATATATAGGGATTTAACCCCTCTATTAGTAGTATGAATGGCGCTGTGATTGACTTCTATTCAGTGTATGTCTCTGTACAAAACTATACTTAAGTAAACAGTTTATTATTTCTGTATAATATTATGATAAAATCCAAGTGATCTTCATGATATAATTTACAAACATGGTCGCTGTTCTCGATCGAAATAAGAGAGTGGAATTCCGTGTGTATTGTTTTCACTATTGGTTCGTCACGTTTAATGGTAATTCTTGAGCCAAAAGATCTTTATTAATAGAATTGGTCTTTACGTCACTTATGTTCTCTGTAGATTAAAAAAACAAACACTAGGTTGAGGTTGTTTAGACCTTAAACTAATCATTTTACTGTCTTGTATACTGGAAAAGATAATTCGTTCCTCCCCTCTTATTGTACAATAAAAATATATTTACATTTATTACCTGCGAAGCTAGATGATGAAGTTCTTTATCCAATTCCATAAGGGGTATTAAACGAAGTTGGGACAGCCGAACAGCAATCGCTTCGCCTGTAAATTAAGTAAGATTACAGAGCTCTTTACATTACTTTCTAGATATAGGAAATAAAGTAAGATTCTTCCAGTAAAATTTAAAATTATCCATAACTTAGAAAATAGCCTATTATGTAGCCCATATATGTCCTTTGTCTATCGGCTAGTAATTTACTCAATAAGTAAATGGACTACTGTATTTGCTAGAAAAGCATAATTATATATTTCAGGAAATTAGTTGTATTTGTTGACTGTAGCAATTTAATCTTTTGATATTGTAAATAGTATTTATACAGAAGATTCGTAATTTGTAAGTGCTATTCAGTTCAATTTATTCAAAATATATGGCTACTAATCAATATGAAGATCAGTATATTGAGACAGTTTTTATTTACCTTTGGTGCTTAATAAATCCCCATCTACCATTGTCTTTATCCTTGCATGGAATTATTTTATCATGTTCAATTATAACAGATGGAGAAGGGGGGAGTTTTGAAATACCTCGACCATTGATAAAGTATAGTTTTCACTTGAGAAATGGGAGAGACAATTTGAAGCCTAGCAACATAAGTTGATTGAGATATTGACTGTAATTTTCTAACTTCCGGTTTGTAATAACTTGGTAAAATTGAGCGTGATCTCAAAATCTTTCTCTAAATTTGACTTTAGACAGAAATTCGAAGTAGGTCTCATCCAAATGTTTTTTTGTCATAATAGTTTTGACTGACATTAGTAGGGGGGTTGCATATTAGCTATGTTGTTCGACTTACATACACTAAGTCCTAGGTTCGAGGCTCACTTTACCTATTTCGGTTCGGGCGAACGGGTAGCATTATTAGCCGTGACACTTGAAATACTAGGGAAATTAGTTAGCTTATTTATTATTGTTCGCACGCTGACGGTGGCTGTTTGAAATCATAATTAAAATTAATAATTTCTAGAAATCATTCCAGTTTCTTACGATGGCAGTGACGCAAATGACGTTATTTAAACTTCTAGTCCTTTTAACCAGAAAAATGTACTTAGTGTGATTCATGAATAATCCCCATCTTAATGGGTTACAACTTCTACTAATTCCCGTAACATCAACTGAGTCACCATGATGGATCAGTAATGCTTCGGAGGTAATTATGATCGTTTCTTAGTAGTCCACTTGTATTCTCGACTTTCAATGATCATACTTTACAGGCATAAGTAGACTGTAGACTTAGCTTTTGATAGACAGAAAGATGTTTTTCCTATGCTACATGTGACTCAGGTAGTACCTGTTATCTCAATACGGAGGTCAGCCTCACCTATTATGACTACCCATTCGAGTTCATATTGGCTAGAACACTTATTTGATGAGGTCCAACCATGCTGAGCAGGTATGCTAAAGGTTAATGGGACATAAAGCAGCAAATGTAAGGTCTGAGGGTGAGGTCGTGGTTTTGATTGTGCTGAGATGTCGGAGTAAGGTGTAATGGTAACTCTCTTACAATAAATCTCGATTATTGTTAAATTTTGTCAAACACTTTATTAACTCACTTAACAGACAATGTTATTCGACCAGAAACACTTCGCATATTTCTTTGTACTGTTATAATCACTATCTTGTCGGTATAAACGTATACGCTTGATCACATGACATCCTACACAAATATCTTTCTAGCTTAAATATCGCTCGATGAATCATTCTATTTCCCTTGTATATATGTACTCGAATCCTACTGTTAGCTTTTGCCTTGCCTAGCTGTGCCTTATTCGATTTGACTATAAATTTGCTTCTGTATTTGATTGCATACACACATTAGACTCTTCTTCAAATCTGCTCGATGAGCTTATAACCTTGTTATTTAGAACAACATATATAAGCGAACAATATTGTTTCTGATTAGATCATCAGGCTTTACTCTAATATATACGTATGAAATTATTAAACCACATTGTTGTCTGCGCTATCCGCTAATAAACTGTAGTCGCCACTTCTTATCGTCTGATTTTAAACACCGTTGGGATTTATATAATAACAGTTATCAATCTGACTGAATAACGAAGCTAAGCCACTACGGTGTTTTCTACGGATAACCAGCTCTACGAGTGTTGCTTTCCTCAGAAACAAAGGGGTATTAAGAAATCCTGGCCTCAAAACACCACGTCTCACTTTGCTCAAAGGATTTCCGTTCCTGAAGTTGAGTTCTTTCTAGTACAGAACTAATCCCTCTGAAAGTACCTACAGAAAGATCTTAAGTTACCGCTTTCAAGCAGCTATAACTCGGACTCTGGAGTCACGAAACCATCACTACTAACCTAGTTTCCTTCTCAAGAACAAATATCTTTTTACGATTAGGTCAACTGAGAAGTGACACTATAGCACCTTTGCCTGAACTCGAGATTTTAAATTGGTATATTGCTTTGGGCAATCAATTTTAATTTGCCATTTTTCTAAAGATTTCATGCTACATCCAGTAATGTTAAAGGTGGGTTGTTTAGACTTCAAACAATTCTTTTAAGTTTCACTATCAGATAATCTCTAACATGAGCTTTAACAAACAATAATCAACTGCATGAATTTAAGATTTATACTGCCTATCGCTTATCAGTAAATTTTTTAAGACATTACTCAAATCTGTCCATCAACCATGAAGGTTTTGATATCTCAAAAAAACAGTACAAGTTAAAATACTAAATAGAAAGATTTATGTAGACAATTTAACTCACCTGTTTCAGTTTTATAGCTTAAAAAACTTTTTACATTTATTTGTTCATTATCTGCTGTTATATAGTTAGAATCTGTCTTCTCTTTCAAAAGTTCTGCATCATTAAATATATCATAAATTACATTCTTATTACCTTCTACATAGCAGTCACTTGATTGACGTGATCTTGTTTGTCCATCAAACTGGGATATATTTCCGCTTAAACAGTTCTTCTTTAAAAGTGATTTATTGTGTTCATTATTCAGAAAATCAGAGATAGAACCAGTAGTTGACAAAGTATTTTGTACTTCACTGGAATATAATCGATTACTTTCGTTTTTATCATCAACTTGACTTGGTATATTACCAGTTAAATAACCTGGAAATGTCAAAGTACTGACTGGTTGTCCCTTTAAGCCTGGAAAGAAACCACTATCTATAGCAAATACCTTTTCTACTTCATGACCTGGTCCACCGCCTAAAATTGTCTCAATAAATGTTATTACAGTTGGATCGAATAGTACCTGAAAGTCAAGTGTAATACAACAATAGTCTGTAGGATAAGTAAGGAATAGATAGAATTAACTGTTGCTTTGCTCATACTATTTCTGTTTAATTAAACGATATGGTATTAAGATATTTAAAACCATAGACATAACAATATTTAGTTCGTAGTTTCAGTTAACCAAACTGTATTTCAATAACTACGTAATGCAGTCTTTAAAAGTGGAGGGTATTTTCAGTTTGCTGGTATTTGATCTACCTTCTAAGGACTGCTGGGGAACTTATTTAAATAATCGTAACCTGACGTTTTTTACTGCAACTACACATTATTTTGTGATCTTATTTTATTCAGAAATGTCAAACTAGTGGGAGAGAAACATTTTCATTTTTAGTTAGTTATAATATATAATGTATCCACAAAAACATTTCTTAAAGATCCAGCTGTCGATAAATGTCATAATGTGGTGTGAGCTACTTATATTCACATAAGTAGTATCCAACGATGGTCAAGAATAGAATGTATTTCAGTAGAAGATCGAAGGGAGGATGGGAACGGAAAGCAATTTTTTGAAAATACACGAATAATGAAGTCTGAGACGATGGACTGATGTTTGCAAAAGGAACAGTCAAGTTTGAGACAATTGATCGACATTTTGCAAATTAAGTATTTACTGTATGGTTCTCAGATTTTAGTGAGATATTCTGTAATTTCGGGTTCGAATACATTCACTTGTCCCCATTTGTGTTCTTGTTCACTCTAATAGCACTTAATAATGGTACATCGAATTTTACTCCGTATAGGATAACTTTAGTGACTGATGAAAATGCGAAAACATGATTTTTCTTTTATTGACGTTACTAAAGTCACAGTTTATATCAGATTATTCTTCTATAATTCTTCAAATAAGTAGTTAATATTTGCATCATCAATATATAATATTAATCACATTAAACATAACATAATTCGATAACCAACGTAAAGTTACATCTACTAGAAAACACTGCAGATAAATATTATTGTTAGTCACAAAATTCTTTTTACTCGGTTTGCAAAAACTTAGGCCGGAGAATTTCATGAAATCTGAGTTGTTTTTACTTTATATTCAGTGTGATATGGTACGGCCACCCTATTTTGTAAATGCTTCTTACTCTGTGATATCACCGAATTATATTTAATAGCTAAAATATAATACATAGAACACAATGAATACTGCTGTATTTTCTTAAGGTATATTCGAATAGGTGTAAGTTAATGAATTCAAAAAGGAGACAAACAAAAATGCTAATGTTCTCTAATACTGTGTAATGTAAATTTCATTGTCAAATAATGAAAAGGATCACAATAGAAATTTGTAACATAATAGAATCAAAATAGTTAAGTAATAATGTTGAACGTAAACCATAAACTGAATACACTAAAAGTCAAGTTAAAATATGTTATTATTCAATTATTTTCAATAACTGATCAATCCTATTTTATATATAAAAGGAAAAATACAGTGAGTTCAACTTCATTTTGTAAAGTTAGTTATCATTATTCTACTTAGATTTCGAAGAAACTAAATCGTGATTCATCCAAATGCGATGATTATAACATGAATGAACTCAACTTTTCCAAAACTATGTTTGTTTTTTGGTACTGTTTATTCTATTTTTATAAAATAACACTTCTGTTATATATAAAAGTATGTTGATCAATGAAGTGAACTTTTTTCTCCATCAAATGATATACTACTAGTATTATATAATTAAGTTGACATTTTATTATAAAGTAGTTATTTGGATTTCTACAGAAAGCATCTAGGTAACAATGGTTTTAGAGAACTATGTAGTAATTAACAAATTCATATCTGCTAAGATATGGGTTAAATTGTAATTAAAATGAATTTGATCTTTTCTTATTAGAACAACATATATAAGCGAACAATATTGTTTTCGATTAGATCCTCATCTGGCTTTACTCTAACATACAGTAATATTATGTGTATCTACGAATTCAGCTGTTCCTGTGGAGAAAGCTATATTGGGCACACTACCAGGCAACTGAACCGAAGAGTTAGTGAACACCTCCCTTTGTGATTTGGAAAAGGTAATGTCAAGACAACACGCAGCTCGGTTTTATCACACTTGATCGATAGCGGTCATGTAGTGGATAGAAACTAGTCATTTAAAGTTATTTATCGTATTCCTACTAGTTTTCCTTATGGTGTTCGATCTCGTTCTTTACACATAGCAGAAGCTATAGGAATTCGAACCAACAATCCAAGTCTATGTGTTTATAAGGAATTTGTATCACCCTTGGCCTCAATAAATGAATCTATTGTTGTTGTTTTTCATACTCTTTGTTCGTTTGTTTTTTTTCTTCATACTCTCCCAACCATTTTTCTCTCTCAAATATACGCTTTATGGTCTAATTATCTGAACACTTCTTGTTACGTCATCTTATAAATGTTATCCCACTGTATATTTTTCTAATCACTGACCTATTTCCGATTATGTAATACTGATACATACAACTATCATCACACTATCAATTTGTACTTTTCACATATTATGTAATCTTTTTCATTGTTATCATTGACTCACAAACTACCTTGATTGGTTTAATAATTTCATATATGCATGTGAATATTACTGCATATTAGAGTAAAGCCTGATGAGGATCTAATCGAAAACAATATTGTTCGCTTATATATGTTGTTCTAAATTTACAATATGGAAATTTTTCAAACTTTTCTTATTTAACATTCAAAGTAAATTTTATACTTTTAACTATAAATTTGACCAACAAAAACTCAGTTCAACAAAGATTTTTATTAGCTATGGTGAAGCTTATAGAGTTTCTAATTAATGTTTAATAAAATAAATTTTTACTTACATTTGATGAAAGACTATGCAAGACATTAGATTCGAAAATATTTCCTGAGGCAATTAATGGATTGAAGTAAGTACTTCCATATTTTGATTTAGTTGATAGAAGACTTGCATTGGTTACATCATCTAGAATTGAAAAGAAATGTTTTTATTGTATGATATAGGCTTGTGTGTAAAGGATGAATTATTTCAGAAAAAGAAACATTGGAATCTTCGATGTATTCAGAAATACTATTTACTACTTAGTGTGTTGGCTATTTTAAATATAAATATTAACATTAACTAAATCCATTGATAATTTATACTGTTATTTCAAATTTTGTCACAGAATTACACTTGGAAATTATTTTCAGGTAACATTAAGTGATCTAGGTTTTTGTCATAACTTGTGGACGCCGATCAATGCTCAGTGACTTATCGATCGGATCAATGACGCGTAAAACACGTACGAGCAGCCTAGAGTCCTGATTGGTCCTGCTTCCCACCTAGCCCGGCCAGTTGATTCCAGAACACCGGTCTCAGCCTCTGCAATATGAATCATTTATTTCAAACATACGCGGATTATATACCAATCAAGCAGATAACAACGTACCATAAAATAGAAAATAACATTTGTACAATATTTGACCAAAAGTGCCTGTGAACGAGGGAGGTAGTGATCAACAGGCAGGGAATAATTCAAGAATGGTAAGTCGTATAATAATAGTTCATAGGTCAAAATAAAACTCATAATAACAGGGACATGAATATGAACAGTTTAGTTACATAACAATTACACGATAAAATATACTCATAGTATTGGTCCATAAATGGATCCCGAAAATTACCATTCATTATTCTTATCGGGATATAACAGTTTTGATAAAAATTGTGAAGAAATAGTAAAGTACGTAAGAGACTGGTAAGAAGAAATGTGTTTTAGAAAACGTCGCAAATAAACAACACATTGAATCTCCCTAAATAAATGTTTACAGTTGATTAAGTGCTCCTGTATGGAACTCGTGATTGTTTTTCGCTCCCCTTTCAAAAGCCAAGCCGGATAATGTTCCGAGATGCGTTTGGATAATGATCGCTTTGTGCGGCCTATGTAACATGCCCCACATGAGCAAGTAAATTTATAGATACACATTGAAGTGGCCCAAAGCGAAATTTTGTCCTTAACACACCCCAGAATGGTAGGTCGGCTTGAGAAGATGATTCGAAGCTTAGCTGCGTGGAATGTTTTATTAATTGATTTAGAAATCCGTTTATTTAGGATTTCAGTAGCTGTATCTCCCTTAAATTCCATATTCATAAATAGAGTTTTTTTCTCTACTGTCAATGCTTTAACATGGGGTCTAGGTACCAAGTTTCTATCGATGAATCTCGGTGGATAACCGTTTTTGATGAGGGTCTGTCGAAGATAAAATAGTTCCCCATCTATTGTGTCGTTGGAACAAATTCGCCTGATCCTTGAGGATAAAGAATGAATTAAGTTCCTTTTTCTAATTAATGGAACCCAACTATGGAAGTTCGTGTATTGTCCATTCCAAGTGGGTTTTCTGTATATCGATCTCTGTAATAAACCGTCAGGCATTCTTTTTAAATGGATATCAAGAAAATGAAATTCGTGGTTTGTCTCTGCTTCTAAGGTGAATTGGATTGATGGGTGACAGCTATTGAAAATATTCAAAATATCATTGAGGTCAACGTCTTCTTCGCAAATAATGAAAGTGTCATCCATATATCTTTTATATAAATGAAATCTTTCAATTATTGGTCGAAGTACCGAATTTTCTAGGTTCGCCATAAAACAATCAGCCAGGAGAGGACCCAATGGAGAGCCCATTGCAACTCCATCTATTTGTTTATAGAAAATATCATTAAATCTAAATTGCACATTGAGCGTACATCTTTAAGGTAATGTATCGGGATACGCATATCAAGATTATTATTTTCAATATAGTCACATAAAAAACAAATGGTTTCTGTGAGGGGAACATTTGTGAAAAGAGAAGTGACGTCTAATGAGAACATTTTTTTACCGGATACATTGATATTTCTAATGGAGTCAACAAAGTCGAAGGAATCAAGAGAATTGTGTTTGTTGATATGATTTTTAACAGGTTGTAGAATGTTAACTAACCATTTAGCGATTGAGTGATAGGGAGAATTGTTCATATCCAGTATAGGACGTAGTGGGTTATTATTCTTATGAACTTTTGGTAGTCCATATAGTCTTGGTACAACAGAACCAGATGGTTTGAGGTGTTCATAGAGGTCATGATTGATAATATCTTCATCTTTCATTTTCTTCAAAATTTTACTTAGCATTTGTTCAGTTTTTTCAGTAGTGTCTTTTTGAACGTTCTCAATAGAGAATTTGACAGGATCAGATAATATTGAAGATATTTTTGTAACATAGTCAATACGATCCATAAGAACAATTCCTGCACCCTTGTCTGGGCGGCATAATACTAAGTCCTGATTTTTCCGCAGATCAGATAATTGAGATTTATGTTCTTTTGTGAGTAATCGGCTAATTGTAGGTATTTTATTTACATATTGATTACAACAATCCACAAGAGTTGTTTTAAAATGCTCAAAATCTTCATTAGACACTGGAGTAAGGTCATTTGTCTGTCGCATGAGGCCTTCAAACTGGATTTTCGCGTTGAGTTCATTAATGTTAGTGGACGTGCTACAAAATTTAGGACCAAGGGATAATGCTTGTAGCTGAATAGTCGATAATGTTATACTTGAGTAATTAAAAACAAATTTCTCTGGAGATTCGGGAAAAGAAGCTTGCGTTTCGGTCTGTTTTAGACTTTTTATTAATTTCAGTATAACATCTTCAGTACGATTTTTGCTAACAATATCAATGTAATCTTTGAAATTGAAACGTTGATCTTCTGACAATTCAAATAATATATGTGAGCGTAATGAGATATTTCGTTCTAGTTCTGGAATTCTAGACTTAATTTCATCGATATAATTGAGAGTAAGACGTTTTAACGAACGATGATTTGGATGAATATGGTTACGGCGTAATGATTTGAAAAATGGTCTCGGATATTCGCGTTTGTCTATACAGCTTCTCAGAAAATTGATTCTAGTATTCGCTATAGCAAGCTTGACAGAATAACCAAGAAACCCACTGAGTTCCTTCACTGTCACAGGATCCTTGCAACTTTTCAGATAATTAAAATAACCCATAGTGTCTTTCTCTTTTTCTTATTCAATGACACTATGGGTTATTTTAATTATCTGAAAAGTTGCAAGGATCCTGTGACAGTGAAGGAACTCAGTGGGTTTCTTGGTTATTCTGTCAAGCTTGCTATAGCGAATACTAGAATCAATTTTCTGAGAAGCTGTATAGACAAACGCGAATATCCGAGACCATTTTTCAAATCATTACGCCGTAACCATATTCATCCAAATCATCGTTCATTAAAACGTCTTACTCTCAATTATATCGATGAAATTAAGTCTAGAATTCCAGAACTAGAACGAAATATCTCATTACGCTCACATATATTATTTGAATTGTCAGAAGATCAACGTTTCAATTTCAAAGATTACATTGATATTGTTAGCAAAAATCGTACTGAAGATGTTATACTGAAATTAATAAAAAGTCTAAAACAGACCGAAACGCAAGCTTCTTTTCCCGAATCTCCAGAGAAATTTGTTTTTAATTACTCAAGTATAACATTATCGACTATTCAGCTACAAGCATTATCCCTTGGTCCTAAATTTTGTAGCACGTCCACTAACATTAATGAACTCAACGCGAAAATCCAGTTTGAAGGCCTCATGCGACAGACAAATGACCTTACTCCAGTGTCTAATGAAGATTTTGAGCATTTTAAAACAACTCTTGTGGATTGTTGTAATCAATATGTAAATAAAATACCTACAATTAGCCGATTACTCACAAAAGAACATAAATCTCAATTATCTGATCTGCGGAAAAATCAGGACTTAGTATTATGCCGCCCAGACAAGGGTGCAGGAATTGTTCTTATGGATCGTATTGACTATGTTACAAAAATATCTTCAATATTATCTGATCCTGTCAAATTCTCTATTGAGAACGTTCAAAAAGACACTACTGAAAAAACTGAACAAATGCTAAGTAAAATTTTGAAGAAAATGAAAGATGAAGATATTATCAATCATGACCTCTATGAACACCTCAAACCATCTGGTTCTGTTGTACCAAGACTATATGGACTACCAAAAGTTCATAAGAATAATAACCCACTACGTCCTATACTGGATATGAACAATTCTCCCTATCACTCAATCGCTAAATGGTTAGTTAACATTCTACAACCTGTTAAAAATCATATCAACAAACACAATTCTCTTGATTCCTTCGACTTTGTTGACTCCATTAGAAATATCAATGTATCCGGTAAAAAAATGTTCTCATTAGACGTCACTTCTCTTTTCACAAATGTTCCCCTCACAGAAACCATTTGTTTTTTATGTGACTATATTGAAAATAATAATCTTGATATGCGTATCCCGATACATTACCTTAAAGATGTACGCTCAATGTGCAATTTAGATTTAATGATATTTTCTATAAACAAATAGATGGAGTTGCAATGGGCTCTCCATTGGGTCCTCTCCTGGCTGATTGTTTTATGGCGAACCTAGAAAATTCGGTACTTCGACCAATAATTGAAAGATTTCATTTATATAAAAGATATATGGATGACACTTTCATTATTTGCGAAGAAGACGTTGACCTCAATGATATTTTGAATATTTTCAATAGCTGTCACCCATCAATCCAATTCACCTTAGAAGCAGAGACAAACCACGAATTTCATTTTCTTGATATCCATTTAAAAAGAATGCCTGACGGTTTATTACAGAGATCGATATACAGAAAACCCACTTGGAATGGACAATACACGAACTTCCATAGTTGGGTTCCATTAATTAGAAAAAGGAACTTAATTCATTCTTTATCCTCAAGGATCAGGCGAATTTGTTCCAACGACACAATAGATGGGGAACTATTTTATCTTCGACAGACCCTCATCAAAAACGGTTATCCACCGAGATTCATCGATAGAAACTTGGTACCTAGACCCCATGTTAAAGCATTGACAGTAGAGAAAAAAACTCTATTTATGAATATGGAATTTAAGGGAGATACAGCTACTGAAATCCTAAATAAACGGATTTCTAAATCAATTAATAAAACATTCCACGCAGCTAAGCTTCGAATCATCTTCTCAAGCCGACCTACCATTCTGGGGTGTGTTAAGGACAAAATTTCGCTTTGGGCCACTTCAATGTGTATCTATAAATTTACTTGCTCATGTGGGGCATGTTACATAGGCCGCACAAAGCGATCATTATCCAAACGCATCTCGGAACATTATCCGGCTTGGCTTTTGAAAGGGGAGCGAAAAACAATCACGAAATAAATGTTTATTTTGGAACGATTTTGCGTACATCAATATTGTATACAGAATCACAATATTAAGGAGTTGGTTTCGAAAGTAAAAAGTTGAAAATGCTATGAACTGTACATTAAAAGTATTTCAGATCTTTGAACAGATTCATTAAAATATCAAATTTACATTAAGGTACAAAAATCTAAGCTAATGTAACAATCTTTGAATCAAGCCAGAACAATGATTGAGGCAGAATAATATGAATTCATTATATTTTGTTGTTTCTTATCAGCTGCTAACAACCATTTGTGTATATAAAGGTAACAGTGAGGTATGATATAATGTGAAACAAATGACATTGATGGCGGAACGAATTAGAACGACAAAGGTTATCAGTAATAACTGATATATATGCAAGAACACGTTAGAGGTCATTTGGGGGTGGTATTCAAAAACATAAGGGGTGGATGATACATTAATTAATTGAGGTCCAGAGACTAAGATAGATTGTGGGATAATTTAGGGGTTGTGGAAGATTTACATAAGGTTACTGGAATTAGAAATTGATGAGTTACGTGATAATGGAACAGGATTTGAAGAGTTTACATAAGAGAATTAAATGAATGAAAACGTATGAGTTAAGGGATAGTTTTGGTGTTAGTTAAGGGAAGACCACATAACAATGTAAGCACTAATGTAATAATGATAAAGACAAAAATAATTTACCAAGGTAGTGATAAGTTTATTATTGTCAATTTCTGAATACATAAATCTGATGTGAGTTTTTTTTATTGCTATTGCTTCGACGAACCTGAGAGATGCTCTGTTTTTTTATCTGTTAATAATTTTGGAGGTTTGTTGAATGTCAGTGGTACGTTCGGTGTTAAACAAATGCCGAGCCGTTGCGCCTCTCAGTAATGGATTCATATTAATTTGCCTCAATTGTTGTTTTGGCCTTATTCAATTTCATAAAGATAACAATGTTTATTTACACTTCAGAAACAATTATGAAATAGGGAAAATGCATGAACGGTTTGTTTCGCGTCAGCCATAAATCAAGTTTAGTAAGGTTTTTGATGAAGTGTTATAAAATAATCATATATTACTTTGTTATTTTCAGTGCATCTCATTTCCTTTTGTCACAAATTTATCATTTTGTTTTCGTCTAATTTGAATAAAAGGTTATCTGAATTTGTTGTCTCTGTCTCCTGTATTTTTAACTCATTATTTTATTGTTATACTTAGATTTGAATCTAACCTTTAATACATTAAAGCGCATCACCTATTTGTTACATCTGATTATCCATTGTGAATTTCGAACTGTTGTTAGGTGGTTAATATGATCCTGTGAACTAAAATGGATCCATTGTATAACCGGTAAATGTATGACCCTGTTCTCCATACAACTGTAGCATACCGAAATCTAATGATGTAGTTGAAAGATTTAGAAAAATATAGCCATAGATATTCAATGAAAGCTTAATCAGTTGTAGTAATACATTATCATAAACTTACAAAGCTCAGTTACAAGCATAGGATGATTGTGTTCAGTCATATTTAAAATATCTAAAAGCAATTGATAGGGAATAAAATTAGTCAGTAAGGATAAATATGAAAAATCACTATTAAACAGTATACTTAGATGAATGACAACTACTGACAAATATCACTGTTTTTAACTGTCCTATTTTAGTAACATGAAATAAAATGAGAGATTTCTTAGTTTGACAGAGCGTGAGATCAAAGTAAAGCATTATCATATAAATATATTCACAATGGTACAAGATGTAAGGCAAGGTACTACAACATTAAAGTTATTTCACCAATGAATTGAGAGCAGCTTTAAAAGTTTTGAAGCTGAAAGCTGGTAAATGATGAACTAAAGTCATTTTATGACGAGGAATCTGACTGAAAAAGGCTTTGATTATAGCTTGACAACACATCCGATACAACAATGAGATTGAGAAATTAGATGTTAATAAAATATCATCAAGTAACATTGAAAATATAATGGCAAACTATAATAAGTAGATCTGTTCAACTTATTACATCTCACAAAGTAATCATTCATTTATGAATAACTAGTACCTTGCTGTAGTACTTAACTATAACAAAAGTAAAGTGACGGAACTTGACAGTATAATTAGTAACCTAAGTAACTCAACATTTCTATTCAGTTTACTTAATTTCGAATGGCTAGAAGCCATTTATAGAAAGATTAACTCCGTGGTTTTGTGTTCATCTGTATCTAAAACCTATGGTAAATTCTTTCATTTTGAATTATATGGTTCTAAATAGAAGAAACTTTGTGGCCTTTTAGAAATATCCACAACTTATATCAGTGTGTATCAATCAATAAGTATGAAGACTCAATTTTAAAAGTTTTCAATAGAATATTTGCAATAAAGAAGCTTGTATATTAATTAGAATATGTAAAGCTGAAAACTAAAAGAAAAAAACACTTTCACAAACTTGTTTTATGTGCATCAGCTAACAATTGACGAATATTCAAAGTACATAGGATACTTTCTTTATCTATCATTAATGATGGCTTTCCAGAAATATCAAATGAGCATGAAAGTACAACACAAGTTGAACATCTTTCAACACCGGCAGCTCGAAGATTTGCTCTGTTTAATGGCGATCCCTAAATTGTGCAATAAAATTAACTGAAGGATAAGAATAATAAGTTTTTGTAAATTTTTAAATATATATGTTAATAACAGGTTTTCTGGTTACACAAATGATGAATCGTATCCTTATAGAATTATGAAGAATAACAGCTACTTTGGCATAGATGGCAGATACATTATAATTGTTGATTTATGATGATCTTATACCAGTTCCCTTTAGCTCTTTGAAATGTAAGAAGATACACGTTGGTAACCTGATGTTTTGATTATTTAACTGACTTAAGTGATGCTACTCTATAGTATATATGTTTTTCTAGAGAAATAATTTTAGAAATCGCATCCAGTTCACCATACTAATTACAACATGGAGATATAAATATACTAATTTTGGTAAATATGGTTTATCAGAGAATAAAAATATCTCATAAATCATCTTAATTTTTACATATTTAAAAATAAGACAGTCAAAACTTGACTTCTGATAGCTAATAACTGTATATATTACAACTGACAACTTGGAATGGTAATCCACAGCATAATATGATAAACAATAGTGATTCCACAAAAAGTAATTTCTTAGTAAGATTACAAAAAGAGTTGACATCAGTACACGTTCACTGCAGTTTCTGGTGCTTTTCAGAATTGTGAACTGAAGCTTTGATATTGTAAGTTCAAATCACATATCCTAAATCATACTTTGTTAATAAACAAATCGAAGCACTGATAGTTTTTGTGAAATTTCGAACTAAATAAAACAATTTGTTCTCATTATGAAAAGAAAACCTCTGAAGGATTATTAATAATATTGAGGAGATTATTCATTAAGAATGCCCCATATCTTTATGTTTTACAGCAGATATCTTCCAGTTTATTCTAAATAATTATGGTAGATCCCAATTTTTCTTTAAAGATGAACATCTTACTCTATGTGAGATAGTATACCATATACGAATCCTTAAAAAGAAAATTATTGGTTGTTTAATATAGCAAAGAAAGAGTTATTGTCAGATGCTCGTCGATTTTAACCACATTAATAAATAATAAATACGTGTTTGACTTCAATGAAAGATAAGTAGAGACGAATATAGTATTTAATGTTGGATCGCTATTCAATACTGAAGCCAAGGAATATTAAATATTAGGAATAAACCCTACATAGAATATTATCAAATTTATATACAATGATGTCTTGACAAAGTTAAATAAAAACTTTTTTCTTATACTTTACTAAAACTGATGGGATAACCAGATTAAATTGACAGATGTGTGCAATATTGGAAAGACATTCGTAGGAAGATCAATGAAAACCAGAGTTTATTAGTTACTTATTAATTTAGTAATTGAAAAGTCCTCAATGTGGTATAATACAGCAGTTATCAATGTCTCGTTGTCTCTGGGTATTAGTAGTCTGTTAAATGGTATGTACTGATAATGAAAGCTATCTGTAAATCAACCAAATCACTAGATTTTCATTATGACTAATTTACAATAAGCAATTAACATTCTGAAAAAAAATTATCGAAGGCTATGATATTTCTCGGATAAACTGACTTACTGAAAAGACATAGATATTTGGGAGATTTTTCAGAGATCGCCATTCATTTTCAATAACTTTAGCTTCACACAAAATAATTATTGGTTTCAATTCTTCGACCGGTATCGAAGTTGATCTGAGTGGAAGTACAAAACTAGCTAAACCTGATTTTATTTCTTTAGGTTGTTTCATGATGCATACAATGATATGATTTTCAAACTGACAGCGAATCATTTCTTTCATCGTCTGGAAAGGTAAATATATTCTTCAGTTATTTACTAATTAAAACTTATCAAAAGCGATTAAATAGAGGATTGTCTGATTTTAAAAAGTATAGAGCTATAACCTCAGTATGTGAGTAATCTTCGCAGTATTTACCTTTAATCACCAAGATTTCCCAACAAGAATAATAGACGCGGCAAAATTCCTTTTGATGACACCGAGTTAAAAAGATTTATCGGGTGACCGAAATATGTTTTTCCGATTGAACAGACTCGCCAGAAATGTAATATTTTTTTAATATGATTAGGTCAAATACCGTTGAGATGTATGGTAACACATAAGTATAAACAACTAACAAACGAGAGGGTAGTTCAAACAATAATTTTCAGAGGTGTACATACTGGGTGAATAAAAATTTGTCTGTAATTTGTATATTTGAGTCATTATACTACTTTACTTCAGTTTTCGAACTACATAGAATTGAATAAAATTTAATTCTACAAAAGTAGACCATAAAGCTCAGTAACTTCAGTGAATGTATAACCTAATTAACCTTCAAGTTTCGTGGCTTATTTGTTAGAGGATTGCGCCGGTAACATAGAAGCCAGCAGTTCATTTGAAGATTAGTCGTTGTTCTTTTGGTACTCAGAAGATTGTATTTTAATGAGAGTCATTTTTGATTAAGTTGATCAAAGTGCATGTAAAGTTAAATTTAACTGCCAACTTGGTAAGACTTTCATCCAATGAAGTTTAGCTCTATAAACACCAATATAATTTACAATCACCTTAATAAGCTATTTGTAAACAATTGGTTTGAAGCATTGTTTAGTGTATATAAACACACAATAATGACAATATCTTGAAGAAACTGGTACAGGAAATATATGAGAAAATTGTATTAAAAAAAATCAGATAAGAGAAACAATTCGATTTATTCTATTTTACTTACCAAACATATATTTGAAAATTTTCTCTCAGTTACCCAATAAAATAAACCGGTACTATCACATTGCAGATCGATTACATTCAGTCTTTGTAATTGCGCTAAATCAGTTATTGTACTATCTGGATACGGATAACGATAATAAGAATTCATCGAAAAACTACTTGCACATGTAGGGACTTTTTTTAATACTTTGGCCTTCCTAAAGTGTAGTTTTTGTTATCCATGAAAGTAGAAAGTAAATCAATAAAACATGTGATTTAACTTTAAAATTTGAAACTCATTTATGGTAATTTAGAACAATAGAACATTTACAAGATGATATTTTCTAGAATTTTCGATCTAATAATCTAGAACTGTCTTAGTAGACAATAGTTGGTAGCTTAAACGAATAATGAGCAAATTAAATTATTGATATTTTTCAAACCTGTGGTGATTGAAGCTTTCGATCGAAGTTCTAATTCATCATTAAGTTATCAACTTGTTCTAGTCGACCTCATGAATTTTGATGATAATAGAATATACAAATGTACTTTGTGGAGATGATTAATGCAGATATATTTTGTAATTAATTTTTGTTGTTATTCACAGTTGTCATAATTTCATCTAATTTGTACAATCATTGTTGTTGACCGTTATTTAAATTTAACATTGACTTTCTATTATTGTTTTATTCTCTTATTGTATGACACTGATTATCGCTGACGAATACACTGCTGCTAACACACTTTTCGTTTTCACTTAATCAGCTGTCACATTAATAAATCTATAATATCATTGCTATAAACGTTTATTGATCACATTAGTGTCCTCATTACTCGATTATTCTTGCTATACATTAGACTGGATCATATATACATACATATATATATATATATATATATATATATATATATATATATATATATAAATCGTTTTTTGAATTATTGATTACTTATTATAATTGTCGATTACGTGACCAAAAAACGAACACGCTTCCAAATGACAATTAAAGTAACTTCCAACATTCTTATCTATGTATATATATTTTTGCATATGATTTTCTTCGCATGTTTTGATAATACTTTATCACTATTTCTGTATTAATAATGTTGCTCAGCTATAACTTTTAGTGAACGTAGAAGAGGATATGGATCATTTGATCTTTTCATAAATTATTATTACAAAATGGTTTCGAATGAGCCTATGATAGTACAAGTAACTCTAAGTCAGTTTATTAGACATAAGTATTTGACACCGTAGACTGATAAAGCAAATTGTAATATCTGACACTTCAACATTTTGAAATAACTGAGGAACAAGTTAGATTTCTGGTAATAATATTATGATGATGATTTTCTACACGAAATCGTAATACTACGATCAACTTTATTATGATGCTATTTTCACACCAAGAATTTCATCACACCTGCTGGAAAATTTCATATGATATTTCATAATTTTCATTCAGAATCTACAGAAATTTAGTTTATGAACCCGATTACCATGTGTAATACTGCTTAGTTGATAGCTCTGGTCAAGTTTAATTATTTTATAAGTTGATGTTATTACAGTTCACCTACTACTATTCGTTTGTGAGGTTTATCCATAGCTTTAATGAAACATATATACTCTCGATAGCCCTAACCTATGTAACCCAATACAGTACTTGTATGAGTAATTACTCTTAAGTGAACCCCTGTTGGACTAGGTCATCTAAATCGGTTGATAATACAATAATAATTGGCTATCATTTTATCATAGACGAAATTCTATGAAAAAATTGACTATTTGGTTAATGGCTTAAGGCACATAATATTATAAATCCATTGAGTTCGATATGACTAGTCACAGGAAGAACTGAATCTTTCGAGGATATTTTACACTTTAGTATGAATGACTTCATTTAACATTGATGTTTTTAATGACTTTTAGAATGGATTTATTTAGAACATGTTCCGTACTCTGTACAGTCTTAAACTAAGTCTATCCTGCATAATGTATATAAATGTAGAAATCCATTTAAATGACACTGTGAGTAACGACATCTAGAGATCTTTATTTCGCTAATAAAAAGATATTTTATGATAGAATATATAAAATCAGTGAATATTTATTTGGTGTAGCGAATATTATTACAGTTAGACAAGGACTGTAAAGAAGATGATATGCTGTTTCAAATATTGATGGTTTTCAACTAGCTAACTTAGGGGGTTGTACAAATTAAAGAGAATATGTTCTGAGATTAGCTCAAAAATAACAGTCCTTAACAATTATAGTGATGTGCATCAACCCACCTTTAACATTTTCTAAACAATTTTAATGATCTTTTACAATATATAGTTTTTAAACGCTTTATTGAATGTTTTCTAGTTATTAATAAGTATATACTATATTTAATCAGTTTCTAACATACCTGTACAATATGATGAAAGCGTCTAATGTTTTGTATTTAGAAAAATCGAATTGTTACGGTCAAAATATTACCTTGGTAAAATTATTTTGTTTCCATGACAATCCATATTCGTTTCAAGCCAGTAAAAATTAAAGTTGAATAACATGTGAAAAATAGAATGTACTAAATAAGTACTTTGTTATTTCCTAAGGCTCCTCAAGAATAAGAACATATCATACCTCTCAGAATTCAACTTTAAATTCCTTATCTTTGGGATGAATATATTTGTTCTAACTCACTCTATTGAATAATAAAAACTTTAAGATAATCGTGACTTTTGATATGATGAAATATAGATTATCGTCATCATAGATCGCCTATGTAGGTATGGAATCTAAAGATTCACAATAATAACAACGTTCTTTGATTTACAGTTATTACCAGTCTGTTATTGAATATTGATCCGTTCCCGGAGGTAACAATTCAATATTAAATTCTTTCTAGATGGAATCTAAAGAATTCATTGATAAAATTAAACTTATATAATTCAAAAAAATATTATAGGAATCACACAAGATATTCTTTATTAAATAATATTTCAGTATAAAATATTTACTTACCTCATTTTACAGTAAGTTACAATTGATTGTCGAAGAAATCTAAAACACATTTGAATTGTTTTAACAAAACTATTTGCAATTGGGGAAAGTGTATTTGACTGCTCGCATATATTATCTACAAATTAGGTGGAATTTACAATCAAATCCATTAATATCTTGTTAGAACACTTGGCATAGAATATCTATTGTTTTAAAACTTGTAGAAAACTATTCCAAACAGTTTTTTATACAATTATGAAACTCATTGAAATGAATTCCTTCATTACACTAGATCATTTGAAACAACAGCATAATCCATTATAGGAATAAATAAATTGTTAGAAGTTAAGTTGTTTTTTTTTGTAAATGTTAGCTTTACATTACAGGTTCTGAACCATTTTTAAGTTTTTGAACTATGCAGAATAGGTATTATCTAGTCATTTTCAGTTCATGATACAAACCATCTTCAATTAGGTCAACTTCACGGAAACATTTTGAGCAACTAACAACATTAACTGGCATAAATGACCAGAAAATCACTTTATGTATACTGGGATAACGAGTAAAGTTAAAATGAAAGTAGTATTACATGACAGCAACCGATAGACTACCTGGTTTTACACAGAAATGATACGTATTGTTTTTTAACTTCAATAGTTATTTCGATTAATTTGTTATCTGATATTAAAATTTTAACTTATATACTTACCCTGATTTCGACTAAGTGACGAAAACATCAATTGGCCATAATTATCAAACATTATTTGATCATCAATTGAGAAAGTCCTCAAGCTGATTATAACAAAGAATATTATAATGATAGAAAAAAAACATTATTCAGTAAATGGAATGACATACTGCTATTGTTTCTATTTTCCTACACAGACTTCTAAGCAGGAATAAACAGTTATTACTTCATAGTTAGTACGATATTGTTTTTAAAACTTATTAAAAGAAGAATAAGATTAAAGAAAGATTGACAAATTTGAAAAACTAACTTTACGGTTTAAGTTTCAACATAATTTTAGTATAGTCTTTTGGAATTACAAGAACCTTTCAGGACAGTCAATGTAGTAGCTGGAATAAAAAAGTCCCAGGAGAAAAAGTGGATACTACTACATAACCTAGTGTACAATCCAGATCAACTGCTTGGCAAAGCAACGTATACAGTGATAATTTTTATCATATGCATTGTGTTGTTAATCTAGTATGGCTATTTACAATTCGAATTCTCAGAATTTAAATAATACAACACACGAGACGATGAATGAAAATAATTTGATAGTCTATTGGAGATTACTTGTATGTTAGTTTATATTTCATAAATTGTGAAACACAACAATGGGTAGGAGCATTATCACGATATTATGAGAAATTACAAAGTATTCACATAATACATATACATAGTTTTCAGTCGTCCATTTGCATCTTCCTGTGTGCTCTAAAATCCAAACTGTCTTCTCTATTGGCCTCCAAGTGTTCTGCCAACGTCGTGCTTTTGATGTACTGAAGCTCTTCACTCTATCCAATATTCACTACGAAATCGTGATTACCACATCCATTTTCTAAGTTACCGTGACACCTTATGGCTCGTTTGCACATTTATAGTACAGTGCAAAAATGAAGTAATGAAACAGATAAATCTAGTTCGACAATGGAGAATGGATATCCTTAAAAATTGGAAGAACAATATCAACTTTCATTTAGGATTCTTTCAAAAGTCATTTATTTCATACCGTATAAATCATTGGAGGGAATAAGTCACTTGACATCTGTATCTTAAAGAATTATCTACAAGTTGTATATTTACTTGTTAACTACCCTTTTATAGTTATTTATCTACTGATTTAATACGAACATATTCATTTCTATTTAAATCTTTTATATTGAATAATACAATTCTGAATGGATTATAGAGGAATACTTTGCGGCTTCTTCCTAAAATATATTATCCCATTACTGCGAATATAGTATAAGCTTTCATGTACTTTAAAATCATAATTTGTTCTGGAGTCTGTATTTAGAAAGATCACATGATTTAAATATCGACTGACTATCGGATTTTAGATATCTCTCCTTTTTGCCTTCCTAAAATACTGTCCGGCTTATAACCGAACTGATTTTTGAAGAATACTTACATAAGTCGTTTAGACTATATTATAACTTCACTTGGCAACCAGATACTTGTTTATTTACGTGAAATTTAGTCATATTATGTTTTTGTGTGAGGGGAAATGATAATAGTCTGTCTTCTTAACCAAAGTAGACGTAATGGGGCTCAAACCTACTGTTCATTAGTTGAAAGTGGTATGTTTTTACCGATCTATCTAAATTTGTACAGTTGTCAAGACTTAAATTGTCTGTGTATACAGCTATATATTACTTGAAACAAGTAATAAGTTAAAAGGGTTTTGAAACTAGTCATTTCTTTCCTATTACAAGAAACAAAGCATAATCTTCCCAGTAAAGTTAAATTTTATTTTTAATTTTGAATAAAGGTTAATAGGCGAGTATATTAATAAAAAAAATGATTTACCGTTGTGCTTCGATTAAATTTTTAGCCAAAACAACTGCACGCATTCGATGGGTATTAATTCGTACTCGTACACCTGGATTGATAATCATTTGAGTTTTCTTATCATTATTGGTATAAACTTGTACAGCTAACAAAAGTAAACCCCAAAATTCCATGGCAAAGCTACATGTGAATAAAGTACGGAAATTCATAGAAGAAAGTACTTTAAATAGAAATGTTTTGGCAAAAAGTAGTATTTGCAGTTATCTTCTACTGAGTTGATTCATAGACACTTTTCATCACTGAATGACCACTGGAAAAGTTGCTGTTCATTTCCTCAAACTAAGACTGTCTAAAACACCAATTATATAGTATCCAATTATCATTATCTAAAGTAAATTTATTCCCAGTTATAAATGTACTCATACAAATTTCGTTTTGTTGTGAAAAGTCATGATACATCATCATTTACATTATTGTAGGTGTAATCAAAGAAAATGTTAAAATTGGACAAATTTTGAAATATTTGGTACAGTACGCTCCAGGTTCATGACACTAAAGTATAAGTCCTTAGCAATGATGTGTTACTGTACATTAGTCTGTTTAACAAACGAGAAAAGATGAAATATGCGGAAAACGAATTCCCTTTTTATGACAACGGTGACATATATTCATAAGCATAAAAAGACAATCTACTTAAGGTAATTAAGCTAGGACATCAAGATATTCGAATGAATCTGTTAACTGATTTTCATAGAGTTTCAATCAAGTTTTTACTGACAATTAATATACTCGATAAAGCACCTCAAATAAAGTAACAAAATGGCTTAAATTATTCTAACTTAATTCGAAAGAATTACTTTTGGGAAATTATTCAATAATTCTTACATTGTACTGGACTGTATGTTCATTCAGTACTATTTATCTTATAATCATATGAATAAACATGAATGATACATTTTTCTTCTCCTAAAGCATTGTTATATGTAAAAAATATCTAATTTATTTATCAACTAAAGACCACTCACCCAACTAATTGCTGAAATATCATCCCATCGAAAGCATGAGATAATTTTACTGTATATAATTTATATTTTGTACCTTGAAAATATTCATTTATCCAACGAGGTAAAGTTTTCTATCAAAGTTAAACAGATAATAACAGCGATGAATAATTTGATAGTATAACAAACTCTATTCATATAAACTAATTTGAAGGATTATCATGAAATTTAACAAAGTTGTAAACAGAACTAGTCACATTGTTATATCTTCTTTGGTGAGCAATAAAAGACTATTCATTTCTTATTTTACTAAGTATTGTAAATTATTTGGTTTCAAATAATCTTTTTAATTCGCTTTTTATCACAACTATGTATATATGTAATTTTTCAGTAAGAGTTAACCATGGAAATAGGAATACAGTTATACAGTAATGAATAAACCGAGTAATTGGAAACTAGTTGACAAATTACGAAATAATAGATAACGATTAAAAATCTTGCAATATGAAGCGGTTAGACAATAATTTCTTAAAGAATGAACTAAATGAAAGGTTATGTATCGACATACATGTATACCATAAGTCAATGATAGCAAGAAAAAGTAAGACGGAAGATGATAACTTTTGAAAGCCATATGGATTGTACTAACTTCTATGAAGTAAATAATCTATTTCATAACAAACAGTATTTTCTATGTGTGATAATCGTCCATCGGGAATAAGTCTCAAATTCTGGATATGATTTTGTCAGACATCTGAAGTAGAAAATGTTGTCTCTACAATATTTATCACTTAAAGCATGAAGAGCAGGTATAAAACATACTTTTCAAACTACTTTTTGAGTTTAACAATTCAGCATTAATAACAATAAAAAATGTAATATTTTGATCATTAAATCATTCACTAACCCTAACTGCAGCTGTTGGTACTGAATCACGCATTATAAAATTACATAACAGAGTTGATATCCCATTTGAAACACAATTCAATGCCAGTAAGCCAAGTTTCATCTGTGTTAAACAAATAGCTCTATCAAATTGGTCACTTTCATGTTCCTTCCACCCAGGTATATTTGACATCCACACCTGTATTTTGGAAGAAGATGGACAAAGACTTTGTTGAAGATACAAATAAAATTGGAGCCTGATAGAATCCAAACAATTAACTGACATGGAGATGTATAGATTAAAAAAGCACATACTGTGAATAAAAAATAGTAAGTTAGTTGAAACTCCCAACTATTTCACTTATTTTAGTGTTTTATCTGTCTGCAAAACTATGGGTCGATTAGTGCGTATTTGTTAAAGTTACCAGGTATCTTAAATATGGTTTGTGTTATGGTTATATATTTTATGAACGTTTATCTGTGCAAATTCTTGTGTGTAACTGTTTGCATGCTTGTCTATTTTATCCCATTAACTTAGATTAAATAAACTTGCTAGACGATTTACGTAACGACTGATGAATACATTGATTAATACATCACCCAAAATAAAACACTCATCACACGAAGTAAACCAAACTACAGGAATTGCTCATTCACCTTCGTTTCTAGTTTTGTCCTTAGATTAGTGCTTGAAATATAATATATTTCCTATCTCTTCATGTTTCGATCACTTCATTTTCACAATTTCATAAATATTCACTCAGCTGATCGAAGATTCGGACTTCTGAAGTCATCTAACTTCAGAATTTTAATAGTCAATCGTTTGGTAATAATAATAATACTAATAATCATAAGCTTAGACATACCTTACTTTCAATTAACATAAGTTCACAAATTATTCGAATATTTGGATACAGATTTTTTATGGAAACAACATACATTAAATTTTTCCAGTCATCTTCAACAGGGGTTTGACTACATTTATCAGAAAGAATAATCACAGCCTCAGCAGTTCTCACCTTGAATGAGTAAGAAGTAAAACAATTGATATAAAAAGTAATATGAAATAAATAAATGTTTACATATTTTTCAACATGAATATAAAAAGTAATTGATAAATGTAACGACAATACAATCAATTAAGTAGAAATGGGCATAAGTAAAGTAATCAGAAAACATCTGAAAGACAAGTTGAGTAATAATCGCACATATGTTTCGTAAATCTAAGGATCTATACAAGTAGATTTTCAAAGAAACACATACACAACTTTCTATCAAGAACTATATCCTCAATTATCGACTGTCTCCATCATAAAATGCTTTATAAGCTCAAGAAAATATTGGAATGTATTCGGTAAGAATGTATTCTGAAAAATCAGTTTGTTAAAAATAGGTGAACTTCAAGTTTCTTGAAATGTCATAATGTTGTTTAGTGGGACTGGATCCAGGAAAATATCTTACTGGGGAAATTTAGACTGTGTGTTAACATTACAGTCTTGTTTCATACGTATATTTAGGGCGGATTTTGCGAATGTCTATAACTTGTGACACCCTAATGGGTAAAATCGAGGAATTAAAAATGGAAGGTATATTTGGAAATGTTTTTTTATGTAAATACTGATTGGACAGACTTGTGGTGAGGTTGAAATCTGAAACTGTTTAAATTATTACTTATTTCATAGTCATAAATACTGCTGAAAAAAATACTGAGTTTATGATTATTTACTTTTCAAGTAGTTATAGTTATGATGACCCGTCCAAATTCCTGGACATCTTAAACAAATTAAGACATTTTAGACCTCGATGAGTAACTTATGATAGCTTCTGTCCTGTCATCTGCACAAAAAACAGTCTATGAAATATTGAGCTGGAGGAAGAAATTAGTATATTAAGTTGTTAGTTTAAAAAATTAAAATCTAATCACAAAAGCAGGAAAACAGCTACACATTAGATTTCAACAATAAATAGGGTGGTTGCAACAACCACTAACTAGTAGATGTTAGATGTTCATCTACGACTTCAAAGGTGATTATAGCCTCAGAACAATTAACAAAAGATCAAACAGTGGAGTATGCAACAGATATCCTGTATCTGAACTAGTTCCATAGTTTGGACATTTTTCAGTTGAATCAAAATCAATAAAATCCCCGTTCCAATGTACGAGTGAATCCGTATAAATTTACCAAAACAAACATACTAAAAGCACATAAAAAAATACTCACCCAAATAATTTAAACATATTTCACAGTCTATAACTAAGTGAATCAACTAAATCATTGAAATTGTAAAGGATTTCATAGGCATAAGACATCATAGTCAGTGGTCTAAACAAAACATATATCCTCTGGTGTCCCGAAGCTATTGCCGAAAAGGAGGAGATCATAAAGCTTTCATTTACTACTCAAATAGTTCAGTCGTAACTTCACCGACTATGATAGTAGATGACACTGATTCAGACCACATGAGTAAACTAATCCATTCAAGGTTTCAGATACACCAACTAGCGTGGAGCCTAGAAGCAAGGTTTCCTACTAGTTGCGTTCAACTTCATAATATTCAAACAGTGGATCCGATGTCAACATCACTTGGATATTGCAGCCTCACAGAGTTTGACTAACACTAAGAGGTATACGAACATGACATTGTTTACTACTCTGTGGTCACTCAGTGAGACTATACTTTCTGTTATCTTCGTTAATTGATATGATTTTAAGAAAACTATTTATCAAGTGAGATATTCAATTGCAACAGGTTGGCATATCTTATAGACCTTATTTAGGCCCGTGTGGTACTCAGTTACGTGCTAGTAGATTTTATCATTCCACACAAATAAAATCTTTTATATGTACCGAGATACATATGGAATAGACTATAGCTTGGTATTTAAAACTTATCGGTTGTGAATAGTTTATGAAGGCGCAGCAAAATAAAATCTATTACTGTCATTTTATCTAATTTATTATTTCTAATATATGTTACTCAAATTTTGAATTCATCTGGGTTTAAGACTAACATTTCTGACGAGACCTTCAGGCTGCATTTGAAGCCTCAAAAAGTCAGCAGATTTAGTAAGCTTATGATATATCTAGACCACAAACCATTTTTATGAAACATCATGCGTATAATTTCTTGTTCATTCAGTCTAAATATATTGACTTCATATTGTAACATTAGTGTATGGAGGCGCTGAGGTTTACTATTACTGTTGAGTTATAAGCTTGATGGAAAGAATATCCTGACGTCCACCATTCCACAGCAGTCTTTCTTCTGAAGTTACTATTTGAGCTAAGTTAAAAATAATAACCATACTAGAAGAAATGATCTTCCAACCACAGTGCTGGTCATTTTGTCCAAACATTATCAGTAAGTTACTCATTAAGTATCAAAGTATAGTGTTTGAGGCACTGGATTTGCTGGAAAATATGTATGGCAATTAGGCCACAGAAGGAAAGTTCGTTGATTCTATTTCACTATTCATCATTCATATCTAATAAAAAATTCAATATTGGAAAGACTTAAAGACGAGTCGTGTTTATATCCCTAACAAATAAAAGTGTTTAGCTGATACGGAGTGCTCAATAAATTCCCAGTTACAGCATAAACTGTCATTCCCTAAAATATATTAGTGTTCTTTTTAGTTATCTGGTATTTATTCGTAGTACCAATAACGTAAAATGCCATCCATTCTTTATTGATATATTTTTTATTAGAAATGAGACTCAGAATCTGAATATATTTACATGTAACTTTCTGGTGTTTTTGGGATAAACAAGCCATATTTTTGGCACTCATTATTCTGGTGGATAATACTAACGTTCTAAGCCCTAAGTGTTTAATTCAGTCTCAGAGAGAACACTTACACCCGTGTAAAACCAGTTGTTTAGTCGAAAACTCACTAAATTCTTCACCATGAATGACACTTCAATCTTTTAACAGAATACTACATTCTGAATAGGAATCTAATGTACAAAATGTTTCCTTTCTCTAAGAGGCTGTATTTTCATAAGTTTAAAAAAACAATGAGCTTAAGAAACAGATAAACTAACTGCATTTAAGTAACTGACTCACTTTAGCTCTTTCCAAATCTTCTGGTAATGTCACAGATCCTTTCAAAAATCTCATTGTAGTGCTTTCTCTCTGAAGTAACGCCGTTAGACTAATATCAGGATCGATCCTACAAGAATAACAAAATAACACTCCTGACTCATAAATTACACAGACTTTAATGTTTTTTAGATGGTAATCAACATTTTTTACTTGAATATTTAAAATTTTGCATCCATATTGATCAGTCTATTTTTTATACGATTCATCCGCTTCTTGTGTATAAGATACAGTGTCAAATGACTTATCTGATAACTTGATAATGTTCATCATTACGTTTATTTATGTTATTTAAATATTTCTATCAATGTACCTTATCTGAACGCTTTTCAGGATCAGAGCACAAAACAAGATAGTTACTTATCCATTATTTTAAAAAATGATCATATATATCTTTCAGTGTGACATTCAGTGTGGTTCTTTGTCAGCCAGTTTTTTATTTTATTTATATTTTTCATACTTTTTATACAACCCTATATTATAGACACAGAGTCTTTATTAGAAGCAGTAAGTGGAACATATTGGATCTCTTGGAAAAATCCAACTTCGTAAAAGTATTCCTTGATGCCATTTTTGAAAATTCTACAGCTGTAGTTTTATTTACTTAACACGAATAGTGGTCTTTAGTAATTCAAGCTGGTTTGTATCAATGGTTATGAAATAGTAGCCATTTTTCAGAAGTATTCATCGGGCTCTGTTCAGCCCATAGTTGATTATGTGCACAGTGCTTTTTCGCATGACAATTGAAGTTACATAGTGGATGAAAAAGCTATACCTATTTAATCCCACTATCACTTCCGTATAAGCTCCCTATAGTTTTATTTTTTCCAATCAAAGTAAAATTCTGTTTTCTCCTCTGATTCTAGTGTGAATGGGATCAAATGATGTTTTCACACATGATGCTGTTGTCTATAAATCTTTATATAAATAGAGGTTATTGATTGTTAACCAAAAAATAGTATAGATTAGGTCAACTTCTGTTGCTATTGATTTGACACCCGTTGCTAATATAGAGGTTTGTCATTATCACCCATTTGTTTGTTTTTCACAACGTTTAAATACATCATGTAAACAACTAAATATAACACTTTCACCTTTCTGTTTTTTTTTGTTGTGCTTTAAATGATTGCGTAATCAATGTTCGATAACCGTTTTCTCAATCTTTTCATGATGGTCCAACACTTAAATATTTTATCACAAAACATTCTATGTGTTAAATAACTAAAAACACGGTTGTTGAAACCTCGGAAATGTCATTCTGGGAAAAAATGTTTCATTATCAAAATAACATGTAAGTTGAAAGTTAAGTTTTACAAAATAAGATGAAAATTTCCTACCGATTTTATGAAGTTTATATTACAAGGTTTTTATTGACCAAACAATCGATACTAAGAGATAAATGTCTATTATTGTCACCGAACTAATTATTCACAATTATAACTCAAGATACTTAAGTTGTTTGATGAGTGGATGAGCCTCATAATCCAAATATAAGATTTGATTTTCATAATACTAATTAGTATAATACTAATTTGAAAACCTGAAGTTGATGATATATTATTATACACAACCGTATACTATCATGAAATCCCTTAATATTAGTCCATAATAACTTGTAGTAAAAAATATGAATAGAGTACTTTGAGGAACTCTTGAATAGACCAGCTCCATTGAATCCACCGGACATCGAAGCAACACACACAGATCTTCCCATAGATGTCAATCCACCGACGACGGAAGGAATCAGAATGGCCATCAAACAAATCAAGAACGGGAAAGCAGCAGGACTCGACAACATAACAAATGAAGCACTGAAGTCAGACATCGAAGTAAATATAAACATGCCTCACCCTCTATTCAAAAAGATTTGGGAGGAGGAACAAGTGCCGATGGACTGGAAGTAAGGACAGCTCATCAATATTCCAAGGAAAGGAGATCTGAGCAAATGTGAAAACTACACAGGCATCACACTGTTGTCAGTACCAGGAAAAGTCCCCAACAGAGTGTTGCTGAACCGGATGGAAGACGCAGTGGACGCCCGAGTTCGAGGTCTACAGGCCGGACTCCGTGAAGATCAGTCGTGCACAGACCAAATCGCCACACTACGAATCACCGCCGAACAATCAATTGAATGGAACCCGTCACTAGACATCAACTTCATCGATTATGAAAAATCATTTGACAGTGTAGATAGGAGGACGTTATGGAAACTTCTTCGGCACTATAGTGTGAATAGCTGAGATCGTCAACATTATATGGAATCCATACGACGGACTACAGTGCAATGTCGTGCATAGAGAACAAACCAGCTTCCAGCTGAAGAAGAAATTAGGAAAAGACGATGGAAATCGATAGGAAATACATCACGCAAATCATCAAACTGCATCACGAGGCAAGCCCTGACTTGGAATTCTGAAGGGAAGCGAAAAAGAGGAATGCCTAAGAACACATTACGTCGGATAATAGGAGCAGATATGAAAAGGATGAATAACAACTAGAAAGAGCTGGAAAAGATTGTCTAGTACAGTGTTGGTTGGCGAGTGCTGGTGGGCGGCCTATCCTCCTCCAAGAGGACTAACAGGCGCAAGTAAGTAAGCAAAAGAGATGTTCAGAGGTAAAGCATTTTATCTATTCTTTAATAGCTCGGGACTTAATTCTTTTCATTTTAAATAATAACATTCAAAGTAATCTGTTGATTTCCTCCCGTCTAAATTTTATTTGATTTTACGTCGTTAACCGGTTATCACCACAAACAGATAAAAAGTATTTTTAATGAGGAACTAGGTTTTCGAGAAATTTAATTCAAAAATTAATTATATTTATGGTTCACAATCACAAATCAGGCAGAATATACAACTTTAATTTTCCTAAATTTTGGTTATTGTTGTCTTAGGTAAAGTTTTCACTTAATCAACATTCCTGTCAACCATAATTGAAAGTATTCTGGAGACTTTAATTTAAAAGAACGAACCAGGAAGTCAATGAACAACATTTTCACAATTCAACTTACTCTGACAGGATGACAATCATCATGTTTTCATCATAATGGCCTTGATCGGCATTCACATATTCATCGAAAAATATTGAAAGTGTATGGTAGTTTATTGATCCACATACAACTATGTGCCTGAGAAGTGAAAAGTACGTGGAAGTCAATATCACAGTGCACCAGTTCAATATCTAAAGTTTTAATCAAGTTCAAAATTCACAAACTATCCGATCAAAGTCATTTAATTTCTAACTGAAGAATGGATTTATCTGTCTGTATATATGGTTAATACCGTTGTTACTCAACTCTGTAGATACTCACAAAATGACTAACACTTTAGTTTTAGCTAGGTAGAACTCTTTAATAGTACTTTTATTTGTTAGGAAATATATTATTCATGCAATCCTATGTAAGTGTTTAATTCATTTTCATTTGTAAATATATAGGTAATTAGACACGGTGGTTATAACTGTGTGATCCGGCCGTCCTACCACTTCAAAGTTTATACGCTAAAAAAGTGAAGTAACTATATGTCATAAGTGGGAAAGAAACAACTGTCTCGTTAAATAAATAAACAAACAAGAATTGGAACCACCAATAATATCGGTATTTAACTAATAGCATTAACGTTCATAAACCTCATAATGTCCAGGTAGTGTTTCTTCATGATAGCTGAGACTAATCATAAAAACTGAAATATTGAGTGTCATACCGTATAGTCATTTATTCGATAACATTTTAAGAACGCTAGAAAACTTGTTACATCAGTCACTACTTGTTTTCTTTATTTGAATTCTTGATCAATTAAGGGGCTACGAAGATAAGCAACTAACAATCAATCTTGATAAATAGCTTTAAAATTGAAAGTATGCAGGTCAATGGATTGAGACTTTATTTAAAGAAAATATTTAACATATATTAAAAGTAGAAGTAAACGTTTAGCGAATAAAGCACCGCCATTTATTTAATTAACAGAGTGGAAATTACACTATGAAAATACAGCTACCCAGTGGTTGTCAATGAATAAATATATGAGCTTAAAAAATGTTTGAGTAGTAATGTATTAACTGTACATATAACTACACATTTAGTTACTTGCATATACAGTGAAATCAATGCTATATGGTCTAATTAAAAGAAACTTTCATTGCCTAACAATGTGATATTTGTACCAAAGTTTGTGTATCAGACAAAATCATTCTCTATGTAAGATGGTTTGCGGATATTTGTACAGTCTGATAATAGTTTTCAAAACGAGGTATCTTAAACCTGAGAATCATTGAAAACCAGGAGATTTGTAGGAAATCAAACTGAATACAAATCATCCATCTGTATAACCATGTATTCACCAATGACTTAGATATAAATTACTGAACTTTCAACAGAACAGTGTGACATATAGACGTAGATTTTTGACTTCCTATCGATTGGTCTGAAAGTATCACAATTATTGCTAAACTTAAAAATCCTGGATACAATCATATTTGTGGCCCTGACTGCGCATGGTTCAGCAACTACAAACTAGTATGAAACATCTACCAAATATTCCCTGGTTTTCACTGATTCTCCAAATTATATCATTTTGTTATAAAAATTATGTTTGAAAATATTTGAGTTTGGCCACTGAACCTAGAGGCTGATATTAATCAATTAAATAACCACCTGACTAAGATCTAGAGTCAGATTAGATTTTATAACTATCTGATGAAGGTTTTTTGTCTGATTTATAACATTTACCTTGGCTACTATCAAAAATATTTAATTTCAAATTGATGTAAACGTGTTTATGTACTAACTTCAACACAGTTTAATACTAACGGTGTTACTAAACATTGCGAGTTGTCTATCACCTACCCAATAGAAAACCCACTGAAACAACAAGATTAGAATGAAATGATAATCATGATGGTTAGATGAAAATAAGTCTAATTGGTAGAACAATTAATCATCACTCAATCAGTTATAAGCTAATTAAATTAATTATGTGGTAGGTACTAAATTAATAACAAAAATAACAGGGTTATCTCAACAAAGCTTCTTCAGTCTGATGTACCGTGAGTAAATGTTAGGTCAAATAGGTCAACATGTGACAATTTAATTATATTTCATTAATTAATCACTTGCTTTCACTTGTTTTTAATATAAATCAACACTGAAACATGAAGGCCAATTAAACATATATATAGGTTCTTTTTCGAGTTTAGATCGATAAGCACTTAATGCTAAAATAGATACTAGTGTATCTACCAGAAACAAACGTGCTGTAATAAAATATCGTACACAACGCCTGTCACTTAATAGTTGAATTCATGAGTCGATTTAAGCTAGACCTCCATGAAAAACCTGGAAACATTGGACGGCCGTTTCGTCTCAATATGAGATTCCACAGTAGCGCTCATCCATTATCCTGCTCTCAGGACTCGAACCTAGGACCTTTAGTCTCGCGTAAACGCCTAACCTCTAGACCACCGAGCCAGGATTCAGCTATGCTAATGTTTAACCTATCACTTAATTGTTACATAACTTACAACCAAGAATGTTGAGTAGTCATGAAGATAATGGATACATAAAATTTCATACACTTTTTCTCTTCATTCATAAATTTGTCTAAAGCAAGAACAAGAAACGTGGCAGAATAAAACCAATTCATTTATTTTGTGGTTTCCATTCTGTTGTTTGCTATCTACAGACAAAAATAATAATCCATACGAATATTCGTCAAGATTAGGACTAATAGTTTGACAGAAATCGGGCGTCGAGTATAGATAAGTCATTATATGTGAAAACTATATTTGAAATAATTTCAGCAATTGAAACTTAAATAATTCCAAAGTTTCGTCCAACTAACTTGTCTGGACTCCTTTTGATTATTACCCTGAAGAAGTTCAGACAAGTTAGTTGGACGAAACGTTGGAATTATTTAAATTTCAATCGCTGAGATTATTTCAAATATACTTTTCACATATAATGAATAATAATAATAATTTTATCAGCCAGTTAGCTACTCACGTCACAGTTTCAAAAAAGGTCCCGTAAAGTTCTCCTATCAACGCTGTCAGACGCTTTCTAGCAGTCACGGAAACTGATGTATGGTGACGAATTCCATTCAATTAATTGCTTAGCAGTGATCCGTAGTTTCGCTATTCGGTCTATGCACGATTGATTCATATGGAATCTGGCCTGTTAATCACGAAACTTGCCCTATGTAACCTACGTATTACAATTTTGTTGGGTACATCTTTAAATGGTAAATGTATACATGGAAACTGTTTATTTACTGCCTTGACTGTTTTGTTTTATTTTCGTAATTCTGAAAGATTTATTTGTCTTAAAATAGGATTTATAACTGTCGAACCTGACGGGAACTTATCGGAGACAATATTCCTTTTTTAGTTCATATAATCGTTCAATTAAAATTTTCATCAACTACTGATTTCTTGATTAGATCAATCAAATTCACCTCATAAACACTTAGTACTTTAACACAGTTTCATAAATGTACTCACCTTGGATTGTGTTCCATATAAATTGCTTTGTTATATTGGTTATGTTGTTTAAATAATTCACTAAGTTCTGACATATGTGTTGTTACTGATACCTATTTTGTAAATGAAATTCAGCTTTAGTATCAGTTAAAATCAAAACCTAACATTTAATCTTTTTACGAAAATGAGAAATCAAAGTAATTATGTCTTAAAGAGGGTCAACTTAACGGGGCTTTGAGGAATGATATACAATTATTACAATCAGTGTGATTTTTTTCAAGTTGTACGGTACTTGTGCCGTAAAAATCAGTTCCATTTTAATCTGTTAGTACAGTAGAAGATATCAACCCATTGACTTGTGTCAAATAGATATCTTTCTTAAAGTTTATTTATTAGTTCATTTATCAGAATGTAATTTAATCAGTAAGAATATGATGGTTTAATTTTAGATAAGTAATTTTGATAAATGAACTTGCTGCTCTCTAAGCTTAGGCTATTGAAGGTAATGATTTCAATGATATTTTGGTTAACATTTTCAAGTTAGGTATGTTCACAAATATATACTAATGAATCAACTTTATTCTATAAATGGTTTTTTTATAAGTATATATAGCAATAATTAATTATATAGGCGTAAACTTACAAGTGTTCCAATAATAACGAATATAATGAAAATACGACCCAAGTAACTTGTACATACAATATCTCCATAACCAACGGTAGCCAATGTTACAAGGATCATGTATAGGCAATCCAAATATTCAAGTTTTTGATTGTTACCTTCTGTGGTCCAAAAATTACCTATGTGTTCAAGCTACAAGATATACAGAGGGAATAACGTGATAATCGAGATACTAAATGACTGAGATTCTCAATACCTGGTAGCAAGAAGGATTCAGGAATGGAACTTATTAGTAATAATTTAATTATAAATAGATAAGAGCCTGAACGACATATGCCTGTTTATAAATGGAACAGGTCCTAATACCACGTGGAAAAATATTTTTTGTCTGCAGAAACAAAATGGTATCCTTAATAATTAAAACTATGATCATCAAGAAGCAGAACGGCTGTTTTCATTTCAAACCGTTTAGAGATTTTGTAGACAAACTTATAGAGTTTCAAAGATGTCACCTCTGGGACCTGTTTCAACTGTCTTATGACCAATCTGCAAAATACATTACTTTGACCAAAAATAGACAGCTTTAATTTATATATGAGATGTATGGATGACAACTTTATAATCTGGAATAAAAATAGAGATTTCATTATCATGTTGGTCGTGTTGAGTAGCTACCACCAATCTATCGAGCTCACACTAGAATAAGAGGCAATCTCGGAATTACATCTTCTTAGTGTTCTAATGAAAAACAAACCAGAAGAGTCAATGAAGAAATTCAAATGTATATAGTAAACCGACTTGAAATAAATTATATACGAGTTTTCATATTTGAGTCCTGTTGAGCAGGGCAAAGAGCATGGTTCACTCTTTATACTTGAGGGCCAGAAGAAAATTTGTCGATGAAGACAAGTTATATAAACTATCCAATTACCCATCAAAAAATGACTGCCCTGTTAAATTTACTGACAGTAAACTGAAGACAAATCACAACGTAAAATGTCCTATACAAAACCGAAGAAGACCTTCTATATGAGTATCGACTATAAAAGGGATACTGCATCAGAAATCTTGAAAGCTGGACCTCAAGCACTTCGAAAAACTTTCTGTTTCGAAAAGCTTCGTATTATTTTTTTTCGGTCAGTCTATCATTTGTGAATG